TACGTTAACACCCGCCAGCAGAAACACCCACCTACCCAACTGACAGACGGAATCTCACTATACATCAGCCATTCTCATCCTCCCCTCTCTCATGACAAGGCGCGCACGAGTCCTACCATGAAAAAAGGTTCATTGTGCGACCTGAGTAACGCGCAGTAACGGGGTGTCAGCAATGGTAACTGCATTATAGTTACAGTCAAAGTAATTAGTTAGATTACTAGTTACTAAAACAAGGTAACGGCGTTAGTCCCATCACTGGTTTCTAGCCAATGAAATTAGCTCATTTGGTCATGTGACACAACAGTTGGGCGTAGATTTCTTCCCGGCTGAAAGTAGCTGATGAGTTTTTCTTGTTACATAGATATGATTACAAAATGTCAGCTAGCTGCTAACAGACAGCCATTAGAGTTTTTCATCTAATCAGACCGGCTGAAATAACTGAGCCGATAACAGCTAGTGCGACACCCCCCCGTCTGCCAAGGCTCTTTTTTTTTTTTTCTGACAAAATGAGCTATGCCGCCCTTGCTTTAAAGTAATTAATTTATTAAAAATGTAATATAATTGACATTAAATGGATACATAAATATAGAGTAAAGTAATTGCATCTATCTTTGTGGGTCTCAGACAGAAATGTTTGGGAACTTCTGTTCTAAAACACACTAGGAAAATTTTTTGACAATGCACCAGTTGTCCGGATATTTTTACACCCCCTCAGCTGCACAATTTTAATGAAAGTAGAAATTATAGAATAGATTTGTGTAACTTAAACATCTTTTTCAGCAAAAGCAAAAACATAAAAAAATTTGAATCTCTCTTAATGAGGCTTTGCATCAAGTAGCATAAACTTTTTAAACCCGACATCACAACAAACAGGATCTCCTTTTTGGTCCCGTTGTACTCACAGACAGACATCCACTAGCTGATCTAGTTCTGCACAGCTGCATTCATACAGGTCCCTGCAGCTCGCGTGGCTCTGGTTCATCAGGTCCCCCAGCAGCTGGAGAGACTCGGCAGATCCGGCGTCGCACACGCTCTGAAACTTCAGCACGCGCGCAGCTTCGCCGTACACATGCTTAGCTCGCTGGTAAAGCTTGAAATGCGTTACTGAAAGAGACGAGGAAGAGTGAGAAAAAATACATAAAACACATTTTAAAAGAGGTTTCAAACCGTCTAGTAAAGTCCAAACTTTTCTGATGTTGATGCATATTTTGCAACATGCTTTATTATTAGTGGTGAGCATAGATACATTTTTTCTTAATCTAGA